TCACAACACAGCAGGTGTTCTGAGACAGTTCAGTAGCCCCACTAGGCAGATAGGTCTCAGACGAAGGCGGGGGTGGGGTGGGGTGGGGAGTTCGTGTAATCAGGCTGTCTCTGGTTCCTGGGTGGCAGAAAGGGTAGGAATTCTGGGTAGGAATGGGAAGGATGTGAGAGACGACGACAAACCCTTAGACTCTTCAGGTGGATATGTCTCTCTCTCCCTGTAGCAGCGGGGATCCTGGAGTCAACTCGTGTGGCTAGAAGGAGAGGAAAGCTGTAGGTACCCGCCTTTACTCTCAGCCCTCAGGAGGCAGAGGCAGGCAGATTTCTGAGTTTGAGGCCAGCCTGGTCTACAGAGTGAGTTCCAGGACAGCCAGGGCTATACAGAGAAACCCTGTCCTAAAACACACACACACACACACACACACACACACACACACACACACACAGAGAGAGAGAGAGAGAGAGAGAGAGAGAACGAGAGGAGAACAGAATAGATGCAGGGACCCACAGTCTAACATTAGGCAGAGCTCCAGGATTCCTGCTGAAGCAGGGGTGGGGCTGGGGGATAAGGTGGGGGAGTGGGGGGAGGAGGGATTGTAGGAGCCAGAGGGGTCAAGGACCTCCCACAAGAAAACCCAGTGAATCAACCAACCTGGACTCACAGAAGCTCACTGAGACCGAACCAACAACCAAGAAGCCTACATAGGATTAACCTTTGCATGTATGTTGTGTGTAGCTTGGTGTTTTTGTGGACTCCAACCAGAGGGAGCAGGGGTTGTCTCTGATGTTTTTCCTGCCTTGGGGACTCTCGTCCTCTTACAGGGTTGTCTTGTGTAGCCTTAATATGAAGGTGTGTGTGTGCCTACTCTTATTGCAACTTGATATGCTATGTTTGGTTGAGATCCCTGGGTGGCCTGCCCTTTTCTGAAGAGAAACAAGAGAAGTAGATGGGGAGGAGGGGTGAGAGGGGAGGGGGTGGGAGAAGGGGGAGGGAAAACTGCAGTCGGGATGATATCATATATCAGAGAATAAATTAATAATTTTTTTTTAAAGAAGAGAGTCTGCAGGTGGGCATAACCGGAGAGGGTCTGCTCTGGGATTTAGAGTTCCCATTTAGGAAGCTCCCATTTAAGGTCACAGGGCGGCTCTAGTCAGAATGCCTGACAGCATCTGTGAGCCCACAGGTGGGGTGTGGCCCTATTAGATCCTAGCAAACCTAAGTCATTACCCTGAAGTTCTGGGCAATCCCCTTCATAATTTCCGTGTGGACTTTTACAGACAATAGAACCAGAAAAACAAAACAAAACAAAACAAAACAAAACAACAACAACAACAAAAACCTTTGAGTTTTCTTTCCTTAAACAGAAATACCATTATTTACAGGATTCACCCCGTATGGAGTTGAACGCTACTCTCTACACAGGGCTGCCAGCCACCCAGGAGAGTTGGCTCTGCCTGGCCTTCACGGGATCCTGTAGCCTCATCCTGCTCGTGGGGCTGCTGGCCAATGGGCTCCTACTGATGGTGGTGGCCCGTGGGCTTCGAGCGTCTCACCCGCTCTTGGCGCTGACCACTAGCCTTATGGTGACCGTGATACTCTCCGACCTGCTTTTCGTATTCTTCCTGGTACCTGCCCTGTTGCTGAGCTTCTTACGTCGGGACTGGTGGCTGGGCCCTGCTGTTTGTACCGCCAGCCAGGCTACCAACACGGCCACCATGTTCTGTACGTTCTACAGCATGGTAGCCTCCGCAGTTGTGCGTCATGTGGCCATGATCTGGCCCCGTGTGGCTCTCCCAGACAGCCCACGTGCCCGCCTGCTACTCTGTGGGGCTATGTGGGTACTGGGCTTGGCCACCTCGATGCCCAACTGGCTATTCCAGCAGGTGACAGTATTACAGCAGGCAGTGGGTGTCCCTGAGACCCTGGCCTGCCTTCTGTTGCTCAGCCCACCTCAAACAACCTGCTATTTTACCCTGCTGGGAGCCCTGGCTTTTCTGCCCTGCTTGCTGGGCCTGGGTTGTTCTTTTGGCCACGTGGTCTGGCGCCTGTGCACACGGCCCTTGGGTCCGTCATGGGAGGGTGTGCAGGAGCATAGGGCAAACACACAACTCAGTCTCGTCATGCTGGTGGTCTTCGTGCTGATGTGGGGACCCTGCTCTGCACTGGGCTATGTGTCTGCTGTGGGCCACCTACCAGCCACGCCGCTGGCTTTTGTAGCCTCCAGTCTGTGTACCCTGCTAGCCTATTCCAACTGTGCTGTCAGCCCTGTCCTCTGCTTCTGCCTCTGCGGCCCTTACTGGACGGGACTCAGGGCTATTTTTCATAGGCCCAGAACAGCCATACTTCCTGAGGTAGTGGGAGGTATCTGGCCATGACAGGGACCCTATGCCCTGAGGGGGTGGTTGGTGGCAGCGGTCTGACAGTCTACAGCCTGCCTCTCTACTTTTTCATGGGGCCAGAGAGACTGCCTTCCGGCACCAGGGAACAGCACCCAGTGGAGTGGCGTGGTGACAGCTCACAATCCATGAAGGAACTGTGAGGCTCAGACAACTGTGGGTTCCCAACCTTATAGTTTTGTGGTCTTGGGTCCCCTCACCTCCCCGTGCTTCATCTGAAAAATGGGATGAGGCGCCCATATCTGCACAGGGTGATTCTCCCATGGAACATGCGTGAGGAGGGGCGGGGATTCAGTGAGCATGTGAGTGACAGGTGTTACCATGACGACGGCGCCATCTTATGTTTACCAATCTAGGCATTTGAAATGAATAGACAAAATGGGGTAGACAGAGGACTACTCTTGGGTCCTTAGAGTCCTGGAGAACCCTTCATCTGCCTGGCCCGTCCCCTGTCTACCTCCTTCAGCTCTGTCCCACACACCCTCAGTTCCAGACAGGAACAAAAATAAAGTCCACCTTGGAGCCGGGAGTCTGGGCTTGTGAATTACTGAACCCCGCCCTTTCTTCTGTGTGTGGTTTCTTTTTTCTAAGGTAGGTGGGAAGGGCCTCTTTCAAGGGCTGCTCCTTCTCATTAGGGCCTACCTCTCTCTCCCTCCCGCACCCATGTTGGGGAGGCCCCTTCCTTTATACTCTTTGGATGTGGCCTCAAATTCTATTTTTGGCCCTGGAACCAGGAAGGTTGTGTCCACTGTCATTCTCTAGACAGCCTGTTTAGCTTAGCATTACTCGTTACGCACATACAGCAAGAGGAAGGCAGACAGGGGTGGGGATGGAGAGGGGGGAAGAGAGAGAGGCTCTGACTGTGTGATCAAAAACCTCAGGGACTATTGTGTTGAATCAAGTCAAGCTATTCTCTGCTATAGAACTTGCCAGAGCCTTGGGAGCCCCAAAGGCCACTGACGCTATCCCAGAGAGACACTGAGAAAGTGGCTGCCTCAGACTTCCATGTCAGGCAATAGTTCTGCAGAACACACCTCGGGAAAGAACCCAGCCGAGAAGTCAATGTCACGGTGAAGACGCTTTTGATGCTGCGTCTGTTCTCCCACAGACCTCAGGGGCAACCGCTCGATGTCTGGATTCCCCTGCTGGGTACCTATCTCCTCCCTACACTTTCCCATGGCGCCTAAGGAGATGGCAAAATAGGCCGCTGGTTATGGGAACTTCCCTTTTCTCCAGCCACGACCCCACCCCATCTCACTCATGGGTCATGGGAGTCGCAGGGCATCTGATTATAGAGAGGGCCGTGAGTCAGCTCTAATTTACCATGAAGTCATCAGAAGTAAACAAGCCCGGAGCTGGAGGGTAATTAGGACCAAATTCCTCTTGGGTATAGCCTCAGAATGGCTGCCTAGAGGGCTGATTGGACAGCGTGCACAGTTTGTGTGCGCGCGCGCATGCGCGTATCATCCTTGTTTCCAAGATCCACGTTAGTGATGGCCCTGACCTGTGGAGAAGGACCACGGAAGATGCTTACCATGTCTCTGAAGTCACATGAGTCCTGCGTGGTCTACCTACAGAGCCTGGCAATGTCACCATCAGTGCACACATGTACCCTACCTGACACTATGCTAGCCACACCTCCCAAGGGTCATTCGGGATGGGCCAGAGTGAGCCTTAGTGCTACTACTCCCAGACCTTCCAGCTGGCTGGCACTGTGGCAGATTTAGCCCAGAGGGAGACACTGGGGACTGAGCCGAGTGCCTCTGACCCCTGTGCAGGCCTGGAACGGGTTCTCAGTAGATGTTTGTTGAGAGATGAAGAAACAGTGATCGACCGTGATAGCAGTCCACACGTTGGTGAGTCTCGGGTCATGTGCTCGTCTCTCACTTCCTCAATGGCTACATCTCTCCAGAGCAAACGTCAGAGGCCGTGAACCACAAGGCCCTGTGCATTCTGGTCCCTCGCCCTGACCCCATCGCCTGCATTCTCTTCCTTGGGTGAGCTTCCATCACATCTGTGTGTGCTTGCCTACCGTCAAACGCTCCTACCTGGGACCTACTTATCCCAAACTACCAGAACCCTCTTCACCCTGCCATCAGCATGGTTCCCTGCTCATTTCTCTGGGGCTCCCCTCAATCGCCTAGCTCACCTAAACCATCTCTCTACTGGTGTCTGCCGTCATCCTCTCCCCTAGCTCCTGACTCTTACCGCTCTCTGAAGCCAAGCTATAGACCCGAGTGACTGCATGCTTGCTGCCTCTCATGTTGGTGTCCAGGCCCTGGCCATGTACCTGGGCAGGTGAGTGGCCACCGAGGTGAGCAGGAGACATCTCAGTGTCAAAAGCTACTCTTGACAGCTCTAGTGAGGCTAGAGATCTGTATCTAGAACCTTCTAGCGTACCACTGAGCCTTTGAGGTCCAGGAAGGGGATCTATGCCTCCGTCACAGTCTCCGATGGCCCACAGGCTCTGCTCCCGTATGACGCTTGTGGGAGGCGGGTTTCATTCCCCGCCACGCCCCCCATGCCTTGCGCAGAGCCTGATGGGGGCGTGGCTGAACAGGAGAACTGAGGCAGCAGAGAGACGCTGGGCAAGGATCAGAGCTGTTTGCGGAGGAGAAGGGGGTCTACTAAAAGAACTGGTTTACTTCGATTTAAGGCAAGTTCCACAGAGACGGTCTCAGACAGGCACAGGACCAGACAGTAAAAACACCATCATCACCATGCATGACAGAGGAGGGTCTGATGGGAGATGCTAGGTGGGGACCCCATGCGGCATAAGGGACACATGCAAGACCTGCCTCAGTGGACATAGGATGGTGGCCTTTGGCCACCTTCCCACAGCAGGGGCAGGAGCTTTGAAGGGCTGGGGCATGGGGTGACAGGATGCGACAGGGTAACCCCAGAGTCTAGATGGCCTGGGTGGGAATGGTGGTCATGAGGAGGGTGTTGGGAGGCTGTGTGTGGAATGGATGTACCCTCAGGATGGCTCAGGAAAACACTGGACCACCTGACCAATCCTGTCATCACAGAGGTGTGGACACTGAGGCCCAGCGAGCAGAGGTTGTGCTGGATAGGGTTCCTGTTACATGTGGGTGGGGACAGATTGGCACTCGGGGCCCCCGTCTCTTGTCCCATAACCACTGACAGGCAGAGAGCAGGAGCCAGTTGGAGTGCAGAGGCTAACCCTGTGCCTGGCAGGTGAGTGGCCTCCAAGCTGAGCAGGAGACATCTCAGTGCTACCTGCGATAGCTCCAGTGACCATTCTAGAACATTCTAGCATACCACTGAGCCTTTGAGGATCTGGGAAGGGGCTCTATCTGCTCACATATGGTGTCCCTAAGAGGGTCACATGCATCCCTGGTAGCCCACCAGCCTGGGGTTTCCTGGAAACAGGACAGGGGATCTCCTGGGACTGGAGACACTAGATACTAGGGCAGGAGGGGACAGGAGCTAGAGGAGGCCCAGCTGGGCTGCAAAAATAGGGGAGTCTTGGGGTTGTCTAACATGGACTAGGGGAGTCCACTCAGCCCCAGAATCTTGTGCACCCCTTGTCTTCTATTCCACAGTCCCCTGGATTTGGGTGTGAAGTTGAGTCCAGGAAGTGGGGAGAGGTCCTGATATCCCATTTCCAGCTGGCCCTCCGAGTAGAGTCTGGGAAGTCGACCACGAGGAGAGTGGGGCCTCAGCCTAACCCCTCCCTTAGGCCCTTGGTCCTGTTGGCTTTAGATATTCGTGTGCAGGGGGGACCCAGGAGGTGAGTGGGCTGGAGACTCTGGGGGTGACTGGGCAGGTGCAGCGGGTGGTGGGCGTGGGCGGATGCCCTGTGCCTTCATATAGGACACCAGTTGGTCGGGGATCTCAGCCAGCACATCCCGGGCCAGGCGGGCCATGCTCAGTACGTGGTTGCCGGTGCGGTCCACGTAGTCCCTGAAGGGTACAAACTGAGAGGCAGGAAGATACGGTCAAGATAAGGCATTTGGGCCCCTCCCAGAGGGCCCACCCTATCCAACCCCCCCAACCCCCCGTTTTGTGAGTCTCCCCGGGGATGGTCCATGTCTGCGCTGAGTCCCCATTTCTACTCCATGGGAGATCTAACACTGACCCCAAGCCCTTCATCTGAGGCTCTAGCAAGGAGATCAGAGGCTCAAGGGATGCTGGGAACGGCCAACGGGATCATACCTCCTTACTTCATTTCTCTTTACCACCCCTCTCCAAAGGGATCTTCTCAGTCTCCTCGGACCCCGACACTTCTCTAAACCCACACCTAACCCACCTTCCTCTCTACGCTGCCAACCTCTGGCTCCTCCCTGTCTCCCTCTTCCCAGAATCTTAATACATCCTCCACGACAAGGGGTCTCCATGCCACCGGAAAGCCATGTGGGACAGACTATAGAAAATACATGAGCTGGGCAGTGGTGGCGCACGCCTTTAATCCCAGCACTTGGGAGGCAGAGGCAGGCGGATTTCTGAGTTCGAGGCCAGCCTGGTCTACCGAGTGAGTTCCAGGACAGCCAGGGCTACACAGAGAAACCCTGTCTCAAAAAACCAAACCAAAAAAAAAAAAAAAAAAGAAAATACATGAGCTGGGCAGTGGTGGCGCACGGCTTTAATCCAGCACTTGGGAGGCAGAGGCAGGTGGATTTCTGAGTTCGAGGCCAGCCTGGTCTACAGAGTGAGTTCCAGGACAGCCAGGACTACACAGAGAAACCCTGTCTCGAAAAACCAAAAAAAAAAAAAAAGAAAGAAAGAAAGAAAAGAAAAGAAAATGCACGAGCTGGAGCCCTTTTGTAGGGCTCTAGATTCTGAGGGGGCATCATTCAGGTTAGAAAGGACCTTCATACAGGGCAGGAAGGGGTGTGGCTTCACGCGAAGACTGGACCAGGAAGGGATTCCAGTGTCTGTCCTCGGGACACTCTGACATTGGCCTGACAAGAGGGCCTTTTTTTTTTTCCCCTATTTTTTCGAGACAGGGTTTCTCTGTGTAGCCCTGGATGTCCTGGAACTCACTCTGTAGACCAGGCTAGCCTCGAACTCAGAAATCCGCCTGCCTCTGCCTCCCAAGTACTGGGATCAAAGGTGTACACCACCACCGCCCAGCCAAGAGGGCCTTCTTATTTGATACACTACAGAAGCACAGGATCTGTCTCACCTGAACGATGTCCCGTTCAGCCAGCTTCCCCCTGGATGAGATCCGCACATCATCACCATCCAGCTCCACCATGGCTGTGGGGACAAGGGATGTGTGCGTGTGATCGACTACATGTATGTCTGTCAGGGCTTGCCCTCCAATCCCAGGTCATTCCAGGGCCCTCGAAACAAGTGGTGACCGAGACCAACATGCAGCTAAAGCCCCTGCTCCTTGTCTGGGATGGGGAGCCCAGCCTTGGGATGGGGCTGAGACTTGCATAAGTACTAACACACCGTCTTGGGGCACACAAGTCCACCCAGACTGCATGCATGTCTGGGCATGAGCTCCGGTGGGTGGAGACGGGATGCCATGGGGTTCTGTAAGAGAGGACAGCTGGGAAGGGGGACTCTGGACTCACCATCGAACTCGGCTTGACCCACACCAACAATGATGATGGACATAGGGAGTTTGGCAGCCTGGGAGAATACAGGGGAGGGGCAAAGAACTACGTGAGGGGACAGGTAGAGACAGGAGGGCAGGGCAAGTGGGGATGGGAGGAAGAATGAAGGGTAGGGTACCCCAAGGAACCCCAAGGGACAGGATAGAGAACAGATCCAAAGAAGATAAGTTGCTGGGGGGGGGGGGGGGGGGGTGGGTCTGCCTGCTTCTGTAAAGCCACCTCCTCCCTCTGGTGCTGGGGCTCTTCCATGAGGGGCTCAGGGGGCTGCAGCTGGGGCCCCTTTTAGGGAAGGAGGCTTTCCTCATGCTGAGACTCCGCTATCTCCTCTACATGACAGGCAATCTGGAGCCTAGGATAGATGGTTAAGGGGGTCATGGGCTCCCCAGAGAACACGACCATCTGTGTGGCTCAGAGATCTGAGCTCTCATAGGCCCAGGGCATCTTCTATTTCTAAACCCCTGTCTAGCGCGCTCTCCCAAGTTTTGCCAGTCTCTGTCGAGCAAACAGATGAACGAGGAGGTTCAAGGAAACATTGCGGGGGGGGGGGGCAGGAAAAGAAGCCACCCCAGTGTTTACTTAAAGAAAGCACCCCCAGGTTCTCTTAGGGGTGGGACAAGATGCTTTAGTCCCTCCAAACCGGTGAGTGAGTGTGTGTGTATGTGCGTGTGTGTGCATGTGTATGTGTGTAAGAGAGGAGAGAGAGAGAGAGAGAGAGAGAGAGAGAGAGAGAGAGAGAAAGGGAGAGAGAAAGAGCGCGAGCCGACCTCCACTCACATTGACAATTGCCTCCTTGGTCTGTGCCATGTCCGAGATGACGCCATCGGTAATGATGAGAAGCACAGAATACTGGGAGCCGTCCTGCACGGCCGCGGCATTCCTGTGGGGGTGGGGGTGGGGGTGGGGGTGGGGTAGGCACACAAAGGTGTGTTCTGGAGCCTCTGGCCCAGGCCCCCTGAACAAGGCTCCCAAACACTCCCGGTAGGAGCTTAAAGGGAGTCTTCTGAGCAGATGGTAAGAGATGCTCTGTTCAGTTCTCCCGTGATGTTCCCTCGGGGCTAGCTGTCCCCAGGCTTACCTGGCTACATGGGTGACGACAGGGGCGAAGTTAGTGGGGCCGTAAAGCTGCACAGTGCGCAGGCTGCTGTGGTAGGCCTCCAGGATCCCGTCGATGCCACAGCAGGAGGGGTTCTCCTGATTGCCGTTCTGGGACAGAGAGGAGGCAGCTGAGACTCAGTAGGCAGGAGGGTTGTAGAGGCAGGGCTGGGCCCAGGGAGATGGGGGAGGCAGGCAGAGGCAGGACTGGACCCAGGAAGATGGGAGAGGGGCACAGTTAGAGACAGGGCTGGGCCCAGGGAGATGGGGGAGGGGCGCAGTTAGAGACAGGGCTGGGCCCAGGGAGATGAGGGAGGGGCGCAGTTAGAGGCAGGGCTGGGCCCAGGGAGATGAGGGAGGGGCGCAGTTAGAGGCAGGGCTGGGCCCAGGGAGATGGGGGAGGGGCGCAGTTAGAGGCAGGGCTGGGCCCAGGGAGATGAGGGAGGGGCGCAGTTAGAGGCAGGGCTGGGCCCAGGGAGATGAGGGAGGGGCGCAGTTAGAGGCAGGGCATAGTTGCCTTTAGCCCGGACCCCCAACTCAAGTAGGTAGCCAAGCCTACGGAGCTTACTCCACCAGTATTTAGGCCAAGACCAAGAACTAGAAACCCCCTTGCTCAGCCAACCAGTAGTGGCGTGCGCCTTTAATCCTAGCTCTCAGGAGGCAAAGACAGGGATCTCTGAGTTTGAGGGCAGGCTGGTCTACAAATTGAGTTCCAGGACAGCCAGGGCTACACAGAGAAACCCTGTCTTGAAAAACCAAAAACCAAAAAAAAAAAAAAAAAAAAAAAAAAAAGCCCTTCCACTCCCCCCCTCCCACTACCCTGCTTGTTCCCAGCCTGGGAACTCCTACCAGCGGGAACTCGTGGGACACCCTGCCATCCGGGGGCAGCTTGGCCCCGAAGCCCAGGGCAGGGAACATCTTGTCACTGTCATAATGCTGGATGATCTCCCCGACAGCGGTCAGCGCCAGCGCGTAGGCGTTCAGCTGGTAGGGGCTCATGTAGTGCAGGGACGTGGACTGCGAGGGGTTCCCTGCAACACGGGGCATGGGGACATCTGTCAAACTGGACAGGACGTGTCCCCGAGTCCCTCTCACTGTTTACCCTTGAGCCTTCTATCACAACCTCCGTTCCGTCTCGGTCCAGCAGTCAACAGAGTGACTGCCCGACCCTTGGAACAGATTCAAAATCCTACTTCCTTCTCAAAGTCAGCACCATCCAGTCACCACCATCCTCACCCCGCCCTCACCGACAGTCCAGTCTACACACACCGGCCTGCCAGAACCCACTCCAAGGCCAGAACCTCTGCTTGAAGCATCCTGAGGCCTCTTCATTCTAACTTTGGTTCTAGGAACCCAAAAGCCTTCTCTGGCAGGTAGTTTCCTCTGAATGGAAGTATTCCACCTCAGAGAGAAGTTCCCAAAGACTTGGGAAGGAAACGACTCACAAGGCAGAGGAAGTCCCTTTCAAATTGTCTGCAAAGCCGGACGGTGGTGGCGCACTTGGGAGGCAGAGACAGACAGATTTCTGAGTTCGAGCCCAGCCTGGTCTACAGAGTGAGTTCCAGGACAGCCAGGGCTATATAGAGAAACCCTGTCTTGAAAAGCAAAACAAAACAAAAACCCCAAACTGTCTCCAAGCTGTGCAGAGAGCCCTGGGGTTCCAGCTTTCCCAGGTTGTGACACACACTGAGGTGGCTTTCAGTCACCCGTGTTCCTGTGGTAACTCCTCTCTCATACTCCTGTAAGCGAGCCCAGGAAAATCATAGCTTCTGGCCAGGCGGTGGTGGGTGCACGCCTTTGATCCCAGCACTTGGGAGGCAGAGGCAGGCAGATTTCTTTCTGAGTTCGAGGCCAGCCTGGTCTACAGAGTGAGTTCCAGGACAGCCAGGGCTACACAGAGAAACCCTGTCTCGAAAAACCAAAAAAAAAAAAAAGAGCATTATGGGTTGGAGAAATGACTCAGTGGTTAAGAGCACCGACTGCTCTTCCAGAGGTCCTGAGTTCAGTTCCCAGCAACCACATGGTGGCTCACAACCATCTGCAATGGGGTCTGATGCCCTCTTCTGGTGTGTCTGAAGAGAGCAATGGTGTACTCATATACATAAAATAAATAAATAAATCATTAAAAAAAAGAAAAAGGAAAATCATAGCTTCACCACACTGGGCTTTGGTGGTATCTGTGCTTTTGTCTGTTACTGGTTTCCTCTCTGGGGTGCACTGATGCTTGCTTACATCTCCCTAGGAATAGTGAAATACAACAGGAAGAGAAGAAAGTACCAGGGACCTGGCTCAAAGCCAAGCCATCCACCACAGCCCAAAGAGGCCCACCCTGCCTGCTCCTGCCCCTACTCACCGTTAGAGGCAGTGAAGTCGATGGCCACGGTGAAATTGATCTGCGTCCTAAAGAGAAGAAGACCCAGAGTCACTGGGGTGGGGTGGGGATGGGTGGTGGGCAGCGCCGGACAAGGTAGAAAAAGCCACTAGGCATCCATGTTTGTCAGGCAAGTGGCTTCAGTGAAGCCTCTCGTGTGCAATCTCTGTGAAGCTGAGACGGTTGTGACCAGCCGTGCCCCTCTGCGGGGCCTCTGTGGGCTTCGGAGGGGAGCATTCCAGAACACACAGGGGCTGATTATGTTGTGTGGGCACGCATGGTTCTACGGGCCGCTGTCCCTTCCTCTCTGAATCTGGCCTCCTCTGTGCTCACTTGAGCAGGTGAGGTCAGGGCTCACTGGGCTTCTGGTTCAAATTCAGATTAATGGTTAAAACATGACAGATCCACGCTAAGCACCTTGAGAGGGAAGAACATGACACTACCCACAATGCTGTCTGGCCAAAAACTCAACCCAGAACCTGAGCGTCTGAGCTTCTGCAGCTCCTCTATGCAAGCTAGCTCTTACTCCTTGGTTTTTTACTTAGTTTTGAGATAGGGTTTCCGTGGGCAGCTCTGGCTAGTCTAGAACTTGCTATGTTACCAGGCTGGTCTTGAACTCACGGAAATCCTTCCACCTTCACCTTTCGATTGCTTGGATCAAAGGTGTGCACCACCACACCCAGTCTCTAAGTTCTGACAGAAACTACCGTCGACAGAGTGGGAGGAAGGCAGAGGAACCTCATTTTAATTCCTTCTGGGTTCAGCAGGCAGAAGAGGGAAGCCAGGATCCCCAGACTGCCCCCTCTTATCAGCCTCCTGCCTGAACACATTCCCTCTGCTGCCTAGCTCCTGAATGTACATGGTGTTTTAGCAGCCCCCTGCCTCAATCGTGACCATTCCATGATCAGCTCCTGTCCTATCCAGCCCCACAGGACACAGCCGAGTTGGCTAGGATAACTAATCAGCCAGGAACAAAAGGAGCCAGGTCGCCACTCAGTGGGTGCAAAACGGAGATAAGGTCTCAGTCCCGCCTACTATGTAAATTAGGAGTGCTATGCAAATGAAGTGGAGAACAAAACGCAGCTTGTTTGAAGCCTGTCAGGTGTTAGGAAGATGAAGGTTGGCTGCTTAATGGAATAAAGAAGAGAGAGTTTTTGGTTTGGGGCTTTTTTTTTTCTTTCTTTCTTTAATGCAAAGAAAGTGCTATACCCCTGCGTTGCTCTCCCTGCTTTGCAAAGGCAGCCATAGAGGAGGCCTTTGGGTACCCAGAGGGAGAGTGTGTGTGTGTGTGTGTGTGTTCTGGAGGCAGAGGGAGGGCTTGTAACCTTGCGGCTGTAAATCCAAGAGATGAAGGAACAGAGTCATGGGAAAGTGAGCCGTGTCCCAGGACAGCTGCCTCTCTGTGCCCTGGAGACGGGGGACAGCCAGGTGCCTGCCGGGCTGGGATGCGCCCTGGGTAGCCGCCCTGCCTGTCTCCTCTCAGGCAGGTGCAGTCATCCCTCGCCTGCACCTGTGGGCTCCCGGCTGCCCACGCCCTGACCTGGCGGCTGCCTGCAGGGAGTGTACCAGGGAGGCCCCTCTTTGGAATCAGGCCATTTCTAGTAAGCTCTTGGCTGAGACAGCCTGGCTGTGCTGCCTTTGATGGCCTGGAGGTCACCCCATGCAGTTCCTTTTGCTTTTTCAGCTTGGGGTTGGGTACCTGATGTCTCTGGGACTGTCTCCTAATGTCCCTACAGGTCCCTGTCCCACACTCACTCTCCAGGAGCGAAACTCACAGAGAGAACATGACTCACCCACAGTGACTCGGAAAATCCAAGGCAAACAGGGACCCAGAACCTACATCTCCTGATGTCCGTCCAGAGCTCTTTCTACCTCCCACACCTTGACTCTCCGTCATGCAGTCCCTACCTCCATCAGGCCCTATCTCTGCTCAGGAATCCCACATGACCTAGCCAGGTCTCCCGGGCCTGGAATCCAGAGGTAGGCAAGGTTCTCAGCTCTAAGGTGGAGTCTCCTGAGAGCCTAGTGTCAGGCTCCAGTTGAGGCCTTGTGGGCACGGTCTGGTTACATGGTACGGAGCCCTGCCCTCTCCCTGGGGCTGGGGAGGCCAGGCCCTGTTTCTCTCACCCTCCTTTGATGTAATCCAGGAAGGTACTCTCTGACTCTACCGCAAAAGAAAGCAGGGTGACCTGGGAAAGAAAGAGAAAGGAAGTTAGTGGAGAGCCCTGGGGATGGCCAGGATCTGATGTCACACTTTGCCTGTGGGCCGTTTTCAGGTGCTGTTTTTCCCCCACACCCCCATGCCTATGGCAATCCCATGGAGGACATTTATCCCCATTTTACAGTCAAGGAAACTGAGGTTCCAAGGTAGCTGCCAGGTAGTGGCACAGTGGGGATATGAGCCTAGTACATCTGAATCCAGAACCTCCATGACTTTCATGTTGAGACAGGGTCTCACATAGCCCAGGCTGCCCTAGAACTCCCTGTGTAGCCAAGGATGACCTTGAAACACGTTTTAACCACGTCTAACTTAACTTTAGATGCAAATCCAACTGCTGAAGCATGAGGATCAGGCTAAGGGCCCAGACATCCTCCAAGTGGGCCCCGGGGGAACCCAGAACCCTGGCCCGCAATATAGAGGCCTGAGGAATCTTCCTGATGTAGACCAAGCCACCCATCAATGCCTGTGTCTCTGACTGGCATGGACCCCGCGCTTCTGTCTCTGAACTGTTCTCTTCTCTGGCCTTGCCTGTCATGTCCCACTTCTGGGGTGCTGTTCAGCCTCTACCCCTTTGGCTCCAAGACCCTCTGAGCACCCCATCCTTTCCCACAGGCGCCTCCTACTCAGAATCCCTCTCTTACTTGAAGTTCCCGCCTTCCGCTCCTCAAGAGACTTTAGCAATGGCTCTGCCCACATAGGCAGCCTCTCACAAAGAATTCTGGGTAGCGGAGAGGAGGAAGAGTAAAGGACCTGAAAGGAGGGGACCCTGAGATCAAGGCCTCCCTGCTGGTGTGGTCTAATTCATTTACCAGCTCAGCTAGGCCAGCTGTGACAACGTTGAAGTCCCTCCACCAGAAGAACGGGACACAAGAAGGTCTGTGTGCAGTGGGCCCAGAGCCACACCCAGGGGCTCAGTGTGCCAAGCACCTGAGAGGCCCATGAACCTCTTCCCAGGGGTGGTGGCTCAGCCAACCAGAAAGAGCTGCAACGACAGCCCAGGTGGAGCCTGGACCGAAGACACCAGAGTTTCTCATCCTGTCCAGCTGGCCAGCTCCCTCACGCTGGCCCATGCGAGCTTCTGAGTTTGACAATGGGGAACTTACGTAGCTCCTCCCATGAGTGCCCCTGCAGCAGGGATGGCCCCGCCCCACCCCAGACCCTGGGAGGCCTGTGCTGTTCCTAACGCCATGTGTGGCCTAGAATAGAGTCTTTCTCCTCATTTCTAGGGAGGCTGAGCAAGATGAATGATTTTGAGACCTTTTTCATTTTGGTTGTACATCTGAAGAGCTGCCAGTCAGGGGAGGTCCTGTCTCCTCTGGGGCACTTAGGATGTGTGTGTGTGGGAATCACCCAGGTCTATTGACAAAGATTGGGTGTGCTTCTATTGTGACCGGGGAAGGCCTGGGAGCCCAGGGCACTGCCCAAACACATGCTGTTTCCACCTGGAGGACACTGCAGCTAGGGACATCGACGCGTCCAAGTCCCTGTGTGTGAAGCAGCCGCACACACACAAAAAAAAACCGTGGTTGGTCTCTCCTACGCATGAGCGGAGAATGGGACAATCACAGGCCTGCCCTCCATAGGTCTGTCACCACCCCGAGTGCTGGCTCCATTCTACAAGTGGAGTTCCTCCAAGGAGGATAGGATTCAGGTACAGATCTTTGAGATCTCTTCTGAGCCTAGTGACTATATTACCTGACAGGGACACCCGTCTCAGGAATAAGGGTCGAGGGAGGGGACAAAGGGCACAAACCCAGGTACATTTGCACTGCAAATATACTGATCCATTCTAGAACGGCACCGGGGCTCTGCCCCAGGGCCTTTGCACATGCTGTTTTTGAGGGCTAGGTCTCTTTCTTAGACATTCTCAATATCTGATTGATTCTGTATCACCTTCCTCCACAGCTCTTGAACCACTTTATCGATGTGTGTACATGTACTAAATAATTCTGTCTTCCTCTACTACAGGCTCTAGGGACCCGGGTCTACCGTTTCCTGGCTGTTTCGTTCACCCGTACAGTCCTGCTGAGAGCCCAGTACGTATTTGCTGAATGCTAAAATGTCCAGCCAACCAGATCCTACAATCAAGGACCAACGTCATCTCTGGCGGTAACAGTTACGCAGCGGCAGCGCCTGTTCCCGCCCACGCGGGACGAAAGGCGGCGCTGACTCCTGCATGACTCCTAGCTGTGTAACCTCGGCTGAGTCACTTCCCAGCCTCAGCTCCTCTCCGTGACAGTGGATGCCAGTGCGGCCTCTCACAATGCCCAGTTCCTGGGGATTCCCCACCAGGCGCACCGGCTTCTCCTTCCGGCAGAGATTCCCCCAGGCGGACAGCTCTCTCCTACCCACTCACCCCACTCACCTAGGGACCCCTGCCCTCCAGCCTAGCTTTTGACTCAGGGCAATACCCCTCCACTGCGACAGGGGGCGCTACTCACCGTGCCAGAATTCACATATTTCTTTTTCTTCATTTTCTTTTTTGGATTTATCACCTGTAGGGAAAAGCAACTACTGTTTGAAAGCAGTCCGGGCAGGTTCAGGGCTCCCAGCAGACCTGGGTGCGGCTTGGGCAGCAGCCCAGCAGGGTACAGGTGTGACCGCAGCTTGGGAAGGGCTTTGCCAAGCTTTGTGAGATGTTGGCACCAGGGCATCCTCATTAACCCTGAGTCCCAGTAACCAACACACAGGAGACAGTTTCTTAGCTTTGTCTCCCAATACCCTTAAACCTGCCCAGAGCGGTCAGGTGTTGTAAGACAATTCTGCCCACGCCTGCCTGTACTGGCCGGGCCACTCTTTCACCCTTACAGTCCTGCCTTCCACTCAGGGGTGTCCTGAGCCTCTGAGTCTGGCTCTGGGCTGCCACCTTGACCCACAGTAGGAAGCTTCCAAACCAAACCATTACAGGGCTCCGCACAGTAGGCTCAGTAAAGACTCAATATGTCTCTGCTCCCCACTAGTGACAACCGGGGTGACACCCTTCACCCTCGACATCTGGTAAAGTCTGTAGGTGGTTGTCACCACTGGGGGAGAGGGGGAAGAGGTCAGGATGCTGCCTCAGAGCAGTGACCCAGAAGTAGAAGTTGTTACCAGTGTTCGAGAAGCCCTGGGGCTGGGAGGAGGGCCACCTTGTCCTGGTGAGCCATGCTGCATGACCACACTGCATGACCACACTGCATGGCCACGCTGCATGGCCACATTGCATGACCATGCTGCACAACCACACTGCATGGCCACACTGCATGGCCACGCTGCATGACCACACTGCAACAGAGCAAGGCTGTTCCTGCCTGTCATCACCTACTAGCTGCTCTCGAACTCATATCCCCTCTCCCACATGACATATGCCTCCCTGGGGGGCAGGGGGAAGGCCTTTGTTATGTCTTTTTTGTTTATTTGTTGTTGTTTTTTTCAAGACAGAGTTCCCTATGTAGCTCTGGCTGTCCTGAAACTTGCTCTGTAGACCAGGACAGCCTCGAACTCAGAGATCCGCTGCCTCTGCCTCTCAAGTGCCGGCATTAAAGGCGTACACCACCACCTCCCTGCCTTCCCTCCCTATGTCTTTAACTGCAGTGTCTTTGGTCTAACAAGGACTGATACCCACTTCAGAGATGAAGGAAAACAGGACACAGAGAGGCCAGATGATTTGCTTCAGGTCACACAGCCATCTGGGTAGACATAGGAAGAGAAACCTGTCTCCAGGCCAGTGGTGTGTACATATGGGGCTGTCACCTTGATGGATGAGTGACAAGTTCAAATGGGAGGGCTGGCATAATACTTAGGTGGGGACGGAGGCCGTGTCTGAGACGCTGAACCTCCCAAAGTGCCTCTCTAGCCATGGGGCAGCCTTCTCTAATACCAGCCTTGGCTCCTGGCTGACAGGCCGTTGGGGAGAGTTGCAGACTCAGCATTAATGTTTACCCAGTTGGGCTTACTTGGGGTTTGAACAACTGAAACCAACTGTACCTCCGACCTCTGCTTCACGGTCTCCCTTTGGCAGAGTGGAGCCAGCACACAGCGGTTTAGGGGTGTGGATTTTTTTATAGTACCTCTTGGACTCGTTTTATTTCACTTTCTGTTTTTGAGACAGGGTCTCACTGTGTAGTCTAGGCTGGTTTGTGGACGCATTCCCCTGCCTCTGCTTCCTGAGTGGTGGGGACCACAGACACACACAACCATGCCTGACACATTTCTTTGAAGCCTTCAGCGTTATCTTTAAATTAATGGTGTAGTCAGTCACACTTCCGCTCTCTGAACCTACTCTTTTTATGTTAAAGCAACCGTTGGCATCAGATCTGAGTAAAGTGGACAGTGAGTTAGCACCCTGTCTGTTCTGAGCTCTCCTGGGACTTCCCAGAACCTCCCCCATTCTAGCCTCTCTAGCCACAAGTGGCTGCTGGGCTCCACACAGGGCTACAGCGCCCCCTAGGGATGCTACAAGGAACTGACCCCCATCCACTAGGCTACTTTTCTCCAGTTCTGAAATCTGGTTTTACTTGCACCAGGTTGCTGGGAATGAACCGGCCCATCTCTGAGGAGCTCATGGTCTTGGAAAGACCTCAGGCACAACCTTGGGAAGAATGGTGTGTGGTTAGAGACTTGCAAAGATGATAACTTCCTTGAGGGGACATTTGAGAAAGCCTCTAGGTACCATATTGATTAGAAGTGAGACCATATCGACTCAGAAGAGTCCTTGGGGGAGGCAGCTGCAGAAATGAAGCCATATGGAAGGCATCAGAGGGCATCTCGGTGCCCGGACAGGCATGTACCATGTCTCTCTTTACAGAAGGAGCACACACCCCTTTGCAGTCCCGTGGGGCTCAGCTGTGGTGATGGGAATAGCAATGGGGTCAGGTTAAATACTCAATGCCAGCTTCGAGCAGAGATCTGCCTTAACATTGGGTGTGTGTGTGGGGGGGGATGAAGTTCATTTCAAGGCAACACAGAACTTCAGAGCAGCAGTCGGGCCACACCCAGAGCATTCTGGTCACTGTGGAGCTTAGAAGAGACTAGAATACTATTGCAAAGCCCTACATCCTGTGGAGGATGGTGATTGGCTGAGACCAGGGAGCTCAGGAAGCAGAGGGTAATGCTGTTGGTGATGACCCTGAGGAGTTGGAGACAGGAGGCTGTCAGGAGGACAGTGGTGCTTGAAGAAGCCCAGTGGCTGAGCCATTCTTTAGCAGGGGCTGGGTCCCGCAAGGGGCCCACGCACAGCTAGTTTAGAAGTGTGTCCAGCCAGGGTGGCTCCAGGGTTGGGGATGCGGTGTTGATTGGTGAAGACCTTTTTCACACTCCTGATTCTAGCAAGGGCTTCCTGGGCCCACTTGGCCTCCTAGCAACACCCCTGGGGTCCAGCTGCCTCTGGGGCTGTAGAAGCTGAGGTGGTTTTCCTCTGGCTGGCTTTTCCATCCACAGACAGCAGCATTGCTGCTTCCCACGAGGTAGATCGGATCGCCAAGAGGAAAAGATAAAGGCTGTCTGAGGAAACCAGAGGAAACCGGCCTGTCCCATCCATGCTGCTTCCGATTTCCATTTTGCCTGAGATTTCACAGGCACTGGGAGCCAAACTCCAAGAGAGGTAACTGCTCCATCTACTTCCCTGAGAACTTCCCAAGAGGAGGCCAAAGAAAGGTACAGTCTGGCTTGCCTGAGTTGGGGGGACTCAAACAGCTCAGTGCTAGACTCCTTCCCCAAAACCACAGCCCTGGGGCCCCCCTGGAAAGATAGCTCAGTGGTTAAGAGCACTGGCTACTCTTCCAGAGGACCACAAGCTTTGACTGAAGACACGGGGCCACTCTGGAGTAGGGACTTCAGGTCTTGGCTTACAGCCTTCTTTCTCTTTCTTTCTGATGCTCTTCCTGTGGTGTGTGTGTGGGTGTGTTGGGGGCGGGAAGTGGTGTAGTGTTTGTGTGTGGTCAGATGACTTAGCTTTGTGTGTGTGCTTGTGTGGGGGTAGGGTGTATGGTTTTGTGTGTGTGTGTTGGGGGGGGTGTTGTATGTTGTGGGGGGCGCTCTGTGAAATGGGAACATGAAACCCACCTTGTGAGACAACCCGGAAGTCCCCGTCCCCAACCCCTCTCAGAGCTCTCACGTCCTTACTGTCGTGACCCAGCGCCCTTATGAGAAGAGACCTCACCCCGGAGCACCTCACCTCATAGATGTTGAACTGACTCTGGCCACGTGCCAGCTCCCGGTAGCTGGTGGTGAACTCCCCGATGAAGTCATGGCTACAAGAGAAGAAGCTGCTGAGACTGGAGGCCCGGGCTACCGATGTCTCTGCCCACCACAGCCTCTCCCACGGCCTGCCCCGCCCCCTTCTGCCAGGGCCTCCACCCTAAGGCACGGAGTGTGGGAAGGGAACCGTAGACCAAGAAAGCCAATGGCCACCTGGCAGAAGTCACAATCTCTGGAGGAAGGAGCCGCAGGTCTGCTTGGATTCTTATTTAAATGAGCAAGAGAAGGCATTTGGGGACAGTCTCAGCGGAGGGAACAGCGCTGGATGGCAGTCAAGCACTGCTGCTCAATATGTCAGGTGGGATAATGGCATTCGGAGTTATGTGGGGGGAAATGTGCTTATTTTTTTAGACATTTCTAATGAAATATTTAGGGGGAAATACCACAGTGGAATCTCCTTTAAATTACATTAGCAAAATATAGATAAGGCGAACACAGAGAAATTTTAACAATTGTCAAATTCAAGTGACGGGCTTGAAGGCATTTATTAGCTCCTCCCTGCCAAGAGTTTCCCCAACACAGGGCCTCACTATGTAGCCCTGGCTGGCCTGAAACGTTCTAATATAGACCAGGCTGGCCTAGAACTCAGAGTTCTACCTGCTGATGCCACCAGAGTGCTGGGATTAAAGATGCATCCACTGTGCCCAGCTCAATAATGTTTTTTTTTTTTTTAAAAAATAGGTTTTTTTAAATTAATATTTTGGGCTTTTGGAGACATTGTTGTGTGCGTCCCTGCTTAGTCATGAACTTATGTAGACAAGGAAGGACTTGAAATTCTGACCCTTCTGCCTCTACTTCCGGAGAGCTAAGATGACAGACGTGACCCTCTCATTAATGTATTCATTCTGAGATAGCTGCCCATTGTGTTGCCCAGGTTGGCTTCAAACTCCAATCCTCCTGCCTCAGACTCCCAAAAAAGTCTCATATAGGGACATGAAACTACAGTTGGATCTTTTCCAACCTGGCTTTGGTGCTGAAAATGGAACCCCGGGACTTGAACACATTACGCCAGGGCTCTGCCTTCAAGCCATGTACCCAGGTCTCCTGCTAACACTTCCTAAACAGACACCGAAAGCCAGGTGGCAGGGGTCTTTTTTTCCAGAGGGTGTTTATATTAAACACAGAAAGAACTTGGATAGGCAGTACTCCCAACAGCCCTGAGTCCTTGCTAGAACATAGGGCTTAGCGCTCTAACTGGGACATCAACCTGGAGTACCCAGGTGTCCCTGGGGCCATGCCTTGCTGTAAGCCCACGGTAGCTTTTGTTTATTTTGATTTTTTAAAAGCCATGCAAAGTAATGGATTTCATTGTGAAATTTTTATACATATAAACACTTTGGTTGTGGGGGGCAGTTATAGGTTGTTTTGTGTGTGTGTGCGCATGTGTATGTGTGTGTGTGTGCACGTGTGTGAGTGCGCATGCATGTGTGTGTCTGGGGATTGAACCTTGGGCTTGGTGCATGCTAGGCAAGTGTGTATGTGCGTGTGTGTGGTGTGTGTGTGTGTGCGTGTGTGTGTGTGTGTTTGAACCACAAATGTCTATGGAGGTCACAAGAGAACTTTATGTAGTATGTTCTCTCTGCCCACCTCTTACGTGGGTTCCCAGGATTGAACTCACGTTGTCTGGCTTTTGCTGAACGCACCTTTGCCCGCTGAGCCATTTGCCAGCACTGGGAGCTTATCTATTGTCAGCACAGGATGGAACCCGGGGTCTCCCAAATGCTGGGTGGAAACTCTACTGCTCTAGGACCGAGCTACACTGGGATCCCCACACTGTGTTGAAAACAGTTCTTCTGGGTACAGTAACTTGATGATTGGACCCTGTGGCTCCTGGCAGCTGGGCTGTCCCAAGTTGCCAGAGAAGAGAAAACTCCTGAGGTAAAAGAGAACTGCTAGGAGAGGAGGAAGCAGATTGGGTTGGAGGCATGATGGAGCTGACCTGGCTGGAAGGGATGGAGAAGGGGGGAATTGAGGTTTAACAGAGGCGGGGTAGGCACTGGAGAATCTTCCAGGGCTTGGGCAAGACTCGGCTACCCTTTTATAATAAGAGCACCACCAACCCCCATCCACATCAGGCCCGGGAGATGCCAACAGTGACCACCCTTCAGCCAGGATATGTCTGGATTTGCTTCAGCAGGGAGACAGGGAAGATTCTGGATTGGTGCTTTGAGAGGCATGTTCCTGTTCTGTCCAGGAATTGCCAACCACACTTGCTCCTTGTGGGTTACTGAGACCTGCCTTTCGTAGTTCCCAAGAAGAAGTTACCCTCCTGCAGTCCTGACCTAGCTCTCCTCAGGCAATGTCTCGTTTTTTCCTGTGCCTCAGAACGCCATGCCGCTGCTGTCCTTACAGACCTGAGTCTATTCTCCGTGTTTACGGTGAGCCCCTGCTGGACTATGGGATGTCTCTGGGCCTTTGACTATCCCTCTACAGTCTGGTCTTCCTACAGTGCTTTGTCCAAGGCTCCACACATAGAAAGGAGGTGTCTGTAATGCTCAGTGTCCTATAATGGCCACTTCAGAGCATGCCCAATTCTGCAAGTGAGGCGAGTGTGGACACTGGCTGGCCTCTGGCAGCTATGTTGGGAAAAGGGGGGCTCTCAGCATCCTGTCCTACAGGACCTCCACAGATCTAAGCCACTATAACAGCAGACCAACCTTCATAGGACCCAGCCCCTCATTCCCAGAGTGCCCCAATGGGCCTGCCTAGCTTCCTGGGGCTGCCTAGGTCCACTCACCTCTCTCTCACCCTCTTGCCCTTACCTGCCGTCACGATCCCAGTCATACACCTCCACCTTGATGGTCCTGGAAAACAAACAGCAAAGAATTCTGGGTAGGATGGACCCGGAGGACAGGCCTCCTGCCCCTGGACCAGGAGGCATGTGTGCAGACACTCCTCCATGTTCCAAGCCTGTGTGCAAAGAAAACCCATCTTAAGACCTTTTAGCAAAGGTCTTAGGGGCAGAGGGCAGCCCAGAACCATGGCAGGACATTTTGAGATGCCAAGGATTTGGCTGAAGCAGCCTCAAGCCTCTGTTCATCCTGCCTTCTTAGCGTCTCTACATGGAACAGAAGCCACAGCAGGAAGCCAAACTGGGCATTTACCTGTGGTAGGGCCATGACAGGGCAGATCCCATAAAGCGAGGGCACTTCTATGGGAGAGGATTACAAGACTGCTTGGCAGGAAGGACCCTGAGTCTGGGGTGTGATTGGTGAAGAGCCAGCCCCAGCCCTGCAGGTTAAGAAAAGATCCCTGGGCCCTGACTTGGGGTGGCCTGCTGAGCTTTCCGTCCTCGTCCTCGAGGCTGGCCTCCGAGAAAGGGTGGGATTTTCTTCACATTCTAACCCAGGCTGCTTTAATTAGTCTGTTTTGACTCCTAAGCATGGGGCTGGGCTTTGAGAGCCCATCTTATTTTTAGCCTTGTTCCCATGGCAACAGGCTAGAGGACCAGAAGCAGGAGGAGGAAGGTGGAGGGTTGCCGGTTAACCCTTGGTGCCGTCTCCTGTGTCCTCTGGGATGCCCAGGGATAGGGAAGCGGCCGGGCAGTCCCAGGGGTCTAGGAAGGTGGGAGAGAGCCAGGAAGTGTGGGTTTCTGGTCTTGAGGTCCACATGGGATGCAGAAAGCAGTTTGAACTGGCTTCTCTTCTATTAACATCTATTTATTCTACCGTGGTGTGGCCCACCTCGGCTCTGCCAGGAGTTGGCTTGGGAGTTGTGTGGCTCCCAGAAGGGGGCGCTGTCTCCTTTCAGATGAGACTCTCCAGGTTCTTCTGTGTGTGTGTGTGTGTGTGTGTGTGTGTGTGTATGTGTGTTGTGTATGTGTGTTGCGTGTGTGTATATTGTGTGTATGTATATGTGTGCGTGGTTTGTGTATGTGTGTGTGTATAGGTACGTATGTGTGTGTGTGTGTGTGTGTATAGATACGTATGTGTGTGTATAGGTACGTATGTGTGTGTGTATGTATACATATGTGTGTGTGGTATGTGTGTGGTGTGTGTATATGTGTGTGGTGTGTGTGTGTGTGTGTGTGTGTGTGTGTGTGTAGGGGAGCAGAGTCACAGAATGGGGCAGAAGAAAGTTCCAGAATAGAGCCCTGGGATGCCCAGAAGGTTGTGTACGCATGGGCTAGCTTTCTGTAAATGGACCAATATGAAGCAGACACAGAAGTACTGTTTAAAGGTATCCTTTGCATTCTTATTTTACAAATGCAAACCCTGTGGTTCCTGAGACAGATGATTAAAACGAAAGAAGAGATATCAGCGTGCCTAAGTTTCTGGAGGTGCTGCAAAGAAGCCAGGTGTGACGTTGGTGGCTTCAGCTTGGACACTGGACCTGAGCCCTGTGGCCTAGAGATAGCATGTCATCTCTGGAGTCACAACCTTGACTGTAGAATGGGATTAGTATGGGCCTTCCAGGATAGCTCGAAGCATGGTGTGTGTGTGTGTGTGATGTTTAGAAAATGCCTTCTGATCTCTACATTATCAAACCGTGCACGAACGCCTTTCTACATAAACTTTACTTAAAGCTGGGCTGTCCTATCCCACGCCTTTAATCCCAGCACTCAGGAGACAGAGGCAGGCAGATCTCTGAGTTCAGTGCCAGCCTGGTCTACAAGTCGAGTTCGAGGCCAGCCAAGGTCCCATTCCAAAAACAAACAAATGAAAAATCCCACAGCTGGAGGAGATCTCCCTAACACTCTTGTGATATGGACCACCCTGGTGACAGTAACGCTTGTTACCCAGAGCACAGAAGGAGGAACTGAGTGTGTGCCTGGCGAGACGCCTCTGTGGATAAAGACGTTGTGGCCGGGCCTGCCAACCTGAGTGTGATCCCTGGAATCCACAAGGTGGAGAGACAGAACTCTGAAAGCTGTCCTCCATACTCCACAGGTGTGCCATAGAGAAGGCACGCTCTCCTCCTCCACCAATAGATAACACAGTCATTTTTTAAAAATTAAATTTCGGGCTGGTGAGATGGCTCGCGGTTAAGAGCACTGACTGCTCTTCCAGAGGTCCTGAGTTCAATTCCCAGCAACCACATGGTGGCTCACAACCATCTGTAATGGGATCTGATGCCCTCTTCTGGTGTGTCTGGAGACAGCGACAGTGTACTCATATACATTAAATAAATAATTAAATTTTTTAAAAAAGAAATTTAAATTAAAATTAAATCTCGCCGAGCAGAGGTGGTGGCGCACGCCTTTAATCCCAGCACTTCAGAGGCAGAGGCAGGTGGATTTCTGAGTTTGAGGCCAGCCTGGTCTACAGAGTGAGTTCCAGGACAGCCGGGACTACACAGAGAAACCCTGTCTTGAAAAAAAAAACAAAAAACAAACAAACAAAAAAATGAAATCTCAAAGTTGAAGGGCCTGGCTATTTCATTGTGTGGTATTTTTGGTTGTGAACGTGTCTGAAGAATCCTCCAGGAGCCCCAGCAAACTGCAGAGCAACTGCCCTCTTCAGACTCAAGGTTAGGATTCACTCCTGGCTGATTCAGAATCAGCAGGTCCAGGATGCAGTGTGGATGGGGTGGTGGCTAGAAGCTCCCCAGTGGACAGGACCTGGCAGCTGAGGTTGGCTGGGAGATCCCCGTGTGTCGGTTTGTCCTCCCCTGGGAGAGCCCCGTGTGTCTGTTTGTCTTCCCCTAGGCTGCTGAGCTCAGAGGCTGAGCCTCCAGCCTGGGCCTGGGTGGGGAAGAAAGACCAGCTTCCAGACTCATGGGAAGGCCTGGTGAGAACCCTGTTGTCACTGTCCACAAATCTGTTGCAAGACCAGGTCACAGGAGATGGGATTTGGGACCTACGGGCTTGGGCTCTGTCCCTTTACCCAGGATATTGCCAGACTGGCAGTGACTTAGGCATAAGACCCTAGAGAATGTCCTTCTGCGTGAAGGAGACAGCTCTCGGTGGCCCATAAAACCAACATCCCATATGTCACAGAAAGGCTAAGAACTCGGAGTCTCAAAGAAGGGGGTGAGGAGGGCAGGGAAGGGGATCTCTCTAGATCTCAAGGTGCTGCCCCGGATCCTGTGGGTACTAGCTACGTAGCTCTCAGGGCTGTTCCTCTGTAAACTGTGGGTTGGTTATGTCCTCTGTGAGGGTGCTGTCTCCACCCACCCCGCAGGCACTGATAAGGCTCTGTCAGATACACTCAACCTTCCCTCCATCCTCAGACAATCCTACTGTCTGTCAGGATGTCCTCCACGGGTCAGAGATGGTTTTGCTGTCTGCCGTCAGCTTGGCTCCTAGAACGGTGCCTGGCTGATGTTAGGTATTTGCACTTTCCAGCGAGCTGGCAGGGATCAGCCGACACCTCTGTGAATGGGCTATGCTGGTCATGGTCCCCTGGCCTCACAAAACACAGAGGAACATTCCAGAGGATGCTCGGATTAAAGGTCCCAGGCCCCTGGCACCCAGGGCTGGAACCCTAAAGCCATATTAGAGAGAGACTGGCCAGTGGGGGTGCAGGTGAGGTCTCCAGGTCCTCTCCCTGAGTACCGACCATGGTGTATACACTGCGGTCATCTCTGGACCATGACAGTACTAATGACCACTCAGGGTAGGAGAAGGGATATTTCCCCAATGCCCACAAGGCCCTAGGGGTGACAGGCCCTTAGGGCTTTCTCTCTCTTAACTGTCAGATACTCCGAGAGAAACTGTGGAGAAGGAAAGACCAAGGTAGCAAGGAGATAGACATGGGCCGTTCCATCTTGCTCAGATTCTGCATGTGCTACAGAGGACTGCTAAGTCCACCCTTGCAGTGACACTTGAGCGTCAGGTAGTGAACCTGGCCACTTGTTCCCTAAGCCACCGCCACCGTTCAGGGTCCAGCGCCCTGCAGAAGCACTGAAGTGCTGATGGAACACTCCCAGCTCAGGTGAGCACTCTGCACCCTAGCTGCCACCTTTACAGCCTGTACGTTCACTGCCCCAGGGCAGACCTGGTTTAATCAGGGAGAATCTCCAACTCCCAGAATTCCAAAGAGAGTAGGGCAGAGTCTGGCAATGCCAGGGAAAGTGCTTCTTGTCCCCACAGCCACCCCAGGGGTAGATGGGGTCTTACCCCTTCACCCCCTTTGACTTCAGCTCTACTCAGCTGGGCCACTCAGGTTTGGCGTTCTTTGGGAATGGAGACACATGGGAAAGTGGTAAGAGACAAGGAGACCCCAGACCTTCCATTTTGCTCAGATTCTGCATGTGCTACAGAGGACTGTACAGGGATGAGCCCAGAGGTGGCATCTGCAGAAGGAAAGACATTGTCTTGCTCTGACGTAGACTATGACCCTCCATTTTCTCATTTGTGAAATGGGTACATCATGGACCTCCATTTTTCTCATCTGTGAAATGGGCACATCAACCCTCCATTTTTTGTCATCTATGAAATGGGCACATCATGACCCTCCATTTCCCTCATCTGTGAAATGGTTCCTCATATCATGAGAGAGGTTCCTAAGGCTACTTTTCAGGATATAAGATTCTGTGTTTAAGTTAGTCAGGTCCAGTCTGACTCACATCCTAAGCATCCCATAATTTTAACAGCATGAAGCATTTTTCATCCCATCATTCTGGGGTACTGTTCTAGCTTAGTAGAGCTATTCAGTCTTCCAGTATATTCTCCCTGCTTAACTACCTGGCAGTGGCCATTCCTCAGCCCTCTCCTGTTTTCCACTTCACCTTCTCTTCCCCCTTGCTCTGGGTTCGTGGCCGCCCCGACACAGCCTCTGTCCCCTTCCCCTTGAGCTGTGCCTGGCTTCCAGACACTTTTCTTCCTAGATTAGAATAATAGCGTTTGCTCATCTCGGAACACAGACACAGCTTTCCTAATTTAAAATGGTTCTCTCCAAACAGGCTGTGGGTTACCAACAGGCTGTGACAAAAGGGAGCCCCACACTGAACCTATTCAGTAAGAATCTAGCTGTGGGGCTGGAGAGATGGCTCAGTGGTTAAGAGCACTGAATGCTCTTCCCGAGGTCCTGAGTTCAATTCCCAATAACCACATGGTGGCTCACAACCATCTGTAATGAGATCTGATGCCCTCTTCTGGTCTGTCTGAAGACAGATACAATGTACTCATATTAAATAAATAAATTTAATAATAATAATCATCTAGGTAGATCACACTCCCCCTCAATCCCCCATCCCCACTCCCGTTCTGTACCTCTCTCTGTGGTACTGAGGGACAGATGAGGGCTTAGCCTACTTCTGTCTCCACCAGCCAGCTAGATACCAAGGTCTTTTGGACCTTCCCTCTTGCCGTCCCCTGCACCTCTCTGAACCATTTGAGATTAATCTCAAAAGGACCTTGAAATGCTTTAAGGCTTGAAACCACCATTCTAGGGTGCTCTCATCTCAGGTCCCCAAAGCTCTTACTTTTGAACAAAGCTTCTCTGAGTCCCCCAGACGCACCTCACAGCTACCCTGTCATACTGTGTCATGGTTATCAGGAAAGATTTTAGAGCCAGCCTGGGTCGGACCCTCGTATCTAACTCCAGCATGGCTGGTAGCGTGGTGCAGGGTGGTCTTCAGCCTTCTCTGGGCCTCAGCCTCTCAGCTATGAGGTACAGCCACACTGGAAGCTCCTAGTCCTTCGTAGACCTAATGTGACAGGAGATGTTTCTGAGACCCTTATCTGTGATGGGGCCTGTCGTCCTCTCCACTGGCTTGGGGACAGTCTGAGCAGTAGGCTTGAGTCTCAGGGTCCAATGGGTCCCTAAAGCACCCAGCACAGTGACTGCCTAGGGGGGTATAGACTCTGTACTGAGTCTGCCAGAGGGCCTACAGGAGAGGGACCGTGGCCTCTGATGCGGCATCTCCTCATGGGCTCTGGGGACAATGCTAGGCCTGGGTGAGAGTCAGCCAGACACATTGGCCCCTGGATTAATTCTGATGCCAATCATGTCACAGACAATTTGTACCCAGCCACAGAGAAGGAGAGCCAGCCACCCTGGAGGAAGATGGGGCTGGGCTCAGTCACGCTGGCTCCAGGGGACCAGCCTCGGTCAGCTGTCCCTCTCCTGGTTTGTCTCTGATACAGCTGGGTTCTCAGGACCTGGGAGCCGCTCCTCCAGGGAGGCAGGTTTACACACTGTCTGCTCTCTCATCCTGCACCCCCAGCCTTCCTGCTGTCCCCAGCTTCCTTTAGAATCTAATGCTGTCCTGTCCCCTCCCCAACTCCAGGTGTCCTGAGACCCAGCAAGGTGTGTGTGTGTGTGTGTGTGTGGGGTTGTTTGTTCGACCACAGCATACACTTTGGTCCCCAGCTCATTTTGCACAATTGCTTAGCCATCTACAGAATTTGTGTCTGTCTGAGCTTCCGTAGTCAGACCAGAAGGTCCCAAAAGACAGAGACAGCCACCTGCCCTTGAATGTCACATAGTTGGGGACTCAGCACTGGGTACAATGCACTCAATACCTAGGGACAGACTGCTGTGTTTTTGTCCCAGCCAAGAGGACATCTTAGCCTGTAAGTGTCCCCGGAGGGAAACAGATACCAGGACAACCCCCACCTACTCACCACCCCATCCATACCCCCTTGGAAACTCTGTACAGAGTCCCAGTGTACCCATGAGGTGTTTGTTCTGATGTCCCCAGGGCTTCTGTGGGAGCAAGCCAGCAGACCCACTACGTCTTCAACCAGTGGTTGGGTGACTTCGGGCAGACCAATCTTATCTTGTGGCACCCATTGGGCCCGCCCTCCTGCTCTCTCCTGCACCTTCTGCAGTGGGTAATGACATGTTTCTCTGTGTGATTACCGGATTAATGTCTGCCTCCCCCACGAACGCTTAAGCTCCGTGAAGCTGGGTGGAAGGGGAGGTGGGCACACTCGTTCCCAGACGACTTCCAAGCTAGATGGCAGGGGTTCAGAAAAGACACAGAGGAGAGGCTGACTCGGGCATCACCCGCCAGCCAGCCAGCCACCCGCTGGCCTCACACGGGGAGCAGTCCTGGGAGGTCAGTGGGTGTTTCCTCACTCACTGTGCAGGGAAGGACAGTCGAGAGACAAGACAGGCCAGAGCTTGCCCAGGCTGACAGTTCCCTTAGTCAGTCAGGGGTGAACTCAGGAACCGGTAGTGACAGGGGGAGATGAGGAAGAGCTTGCATATAATGACAACACTTCATATACGTTGTCATTGCCCCACCCCTCGCCCTCCACCCCTCACCCCTCACTTTTGCCTGACAGGTTGGCAGGGAGTCTCCTCGGGGTCTTGACTCCAGAGTCCACCAACCAAAAGTGAGGTTGCTGAGATTGACCCCTCCTCTCTCTACTCCCCAAATCCTTGCCTGCTGCCATCTGCCCCACCCAGGGCAATAAAGAGCTCCAGACCCCAGTGATGGGGACACCCATGCTCTGTCCCTTGTAGAACAGACAGAAAGCTGTAGGTGTGTGTTTGTGTGTGTGTGCCAAAGGAAAACAGAACACATGGGGGGTTGTAGAGGGGCAGGAGGCTCCAATCCTCACTCTGACATTGCAGTCTGATAACAGCTGGGGAGGCCCTGTTTGCCTGGATAGAAAAGGAAGTGGGGGCCACTTTTTAGCTCACCTGTCATAGTCTCCGTTGCACAGGGCCCTTACGGGGATGGAAAAGGTTTGCCACACCGGGTTGAGGGTGTTCTTCATGACCTCCGTCTTGTGACAGATGGTGAACCTGACCAAGAGGAGTGAAGGAAAAGTGTCAGGCCGGAAGCTCAGATGCCCAATGTCGCAGCCTTCTGACTTCTGACGGGAGGAGCCAACCTCAACAGCCACAGCCAGGCTAGAGCAAGATGCACAGCAGAGGGGTTCCTGGACTAGGCAGGGCCCTGACTGGAACAGCAGCACGTTCTGTGGGGAATGTCAGAGACCTGGGTTCCAGCCATCGTCCTGGGGTCAGCCTGTGTGACTGTGACCAAGCCCTTTCTCTCTGGGGAGTGTCTTCCCTGGGGACCCAGGAACTGAACCTCAGGGCTAGACGGGTGGGTAGGTGGGTGCAATTGTGTGCCTGCTCTCCCCTTCCTGGAACCTCTTCTCTATTTCCCAGCTCCCTTGTCAATCTTCTCTACCTTCCGGCCAGCCAACACCTCCAGGAGTTTCTGCAACTGCTAGGTCTCAAACGGACAAACCCTGGCTCTGACACCCCCTGTCTCTCTCCTTCCTGGCTTTCCTGTCACATCTCATCTGTCACGGCTTGACATGGTCTGTGTCTTTCCTTATTCATCCCGTTATGGTCTGTCAGTAAAATTTAAGGTCCGAAGGAACAGGAAGTATTCCCACTGTTGATGATAGTGTAGCCTAGAACAGCGGCGGGCCCTAGTAGATATTCAAACATTATTTTATTTTATTTTATTTTATTTTATTTTATTTTATTTTATTTTATTTGTGCTGGGTCTCATGAAACTTAGAATGGATTTAAGCTTCTGATCTTCCTGCCTCCACCTCTCTTCTGCTGGATCTCCATGCCTTGCTATCAACCATTAAAAGAAAAAAAAAAGTTGAGTGTGGGCGTGGTGGCTCACTCCTTTAATCCCAGTGCTCAGGAAGCAGAGGCAGGTTGATCTCTGTGAGTTCGAGGCCATCCTGGTCTACAAATTGAGTCTAGGATAGCCAGGGCTACACGGAGAAACATCGTCTCCAACAACAACAAAACTCACCTATTTATTTTATTCCGTACATGCTCCAGGGACTGTATATGTATCACACCTGTGCAATTGCCCCTGGAGGCCAGAAGTGGATCTGGAGCCATTTATTATTGGTGACTGGGAGCCACCCAGCATGGGTCCCGGCAAACAAACTCAGATCTCTTGGAAGAACATGGGGTGCTCTTAATGGCTGAGCCATCCCTCTAGGTCCTAGTCATATTTTAAAGGAAACTGACGAGGGCCGGGGACGCTCGGCTGGTAGATGTTTGACAGCACTGAGTTCTATCTTACAGCAGCCCGAGAGCCTGCTTCAAAAAAAAAAAAAGTCAAAAAAAATAAAAAGGAGCTGCCAGGCATGGTGGCTCACACACCTTTGGTCTCAGCACTTGGAAGGCAGAGGCAGGCAGGTCACTTGCTATGAGTTCCAAGCCAGTGAGGGCTACACTGTGTGACACCATCTCAAAAAATAAAGTAAGTATAAATAAATACATGGGACCCCTGAGTGAGAGATCCCATAGCTTTCACACTGGCCTTTCAATCTAGTGGAGGTAAAGCCCTGTCCTTAGGATGCCTGAGACCCCTTGAGCCCCTCCAGTTGGAATCCGAGAGCCTGCTTTGCTAGCTGTGTAGAATGGGCTGTCTCCACCGTTCCCGGCATAGTGTGCTACCTTCCCCTCTTGCCGTGGCTAGCCTGTCTCAGGAGCAGCCCAATACTCAAGGATGGGCAAAGCTCCCCCAACACCCGCTCCAGTGACTTTCCAGCTTGGAAAGGTCACCAGGAAGCGCCAGGGCCCCACCCGAGCCCACACAGCCTGTGCCGTTTCTTCTTCGGTAATTTTCAAGTCAAAATGTCATTCTTGTCAGCGGGCTGAGTGTCTCTCTTCCCGTGCTCCTTCCCACCCACCCACTGGAGTGTGAGATCCACGTGGGAGACCTTGGAGCCTGCCCTGGAGCTGGAGGAGGGGTTGGGGCAGAAGGCCCCTCACCCCCACCCCAGATGCCTGGGACTGAGGCAGGTGGCTGACAGGGGTGGGGGTGTGGAGGGGAGGATAGCCAGACTGTAGAAGCCTCCAGGACTTCAGGGACACTCCCTGAACACTCCCTGGAACACTCCCTCTAAGGATGGATTTATCCAGCCTCCTCAGCCCGCCCACATAGACCTCTGTTCTTCCATCAAGGCCCGAGAGCTCCTTAGGTCTCCTACGCCCCTAGTCCAGTTGTTCTCCATGTTCCTTCTTGGACCCTGGGTGGTCCTGCTTCTGTCCTAGGCGCTAGCTGCAAAGGGCTTCCTTTAAACTCTCTCTGCAATCCCTGCCACCATCAGACTCACAGGCTTCTTGGATCCCCCCCCAACCCCCGCTGCACTTGCCTGGTGCCAGGCTTCCCTAGGCCAAGAGGTCCCTGCAGAGGGCTCATTTTTACACACAGTTGGAGCATGGGTGTGGGAAAGAGTGTCACCCATCTGCCAGACAGATGTGAGTCCCAGTCCCAGAGCCAGATGTGCCTCCTCAGGCAGTCCTCTCCCAGAGTTTCCCTTGATGGTAAGATAATATTAAAAGAATGGCTAAGAACAAACAAACAAACAAAAAAGAAAGGAAAAGAAAAAAGTCGGATGGTGCATGCCTTTAATCCCAGCACTCAGGAGGCAGAGGCTGTGAGTTCAAGGCCAGCCTGGTCTACAAAGTGAGTTCCAGGACAGCCAGGGCTGCACAGAGCAAGCCTGTCTCAAAAAACCAAGACAATGGACTGGAGAGTCGGCTCAGCGGTTAAGAGCACTGACTGCTCTTCCAGAGGTCCTGAGTTCAATTCCCAGCAACCACATGGTGGCTCACAACCATCTGCAATGGGATCCAACGCCTTCTTCTGGTGTGTCTGAAGACAGCAACAGTGTACTCACATATATAAAAAAAATAAATAAATAATTCTTAAAAAAAAAACAAAACAAGATAACAACAACCACCCAGAAAGGCTCAGTGGGTAAAGGTGCCAGGTAATGACCCGAGTGAATCCCTAGAACCCAGATGGCAGAAGGAGAGGGTCAACTCCCAAAAGTTACCTTCTGACTTAAACATGCATGCACACATACACACACTCACACCTATGCACACTCGCACATATGCACACACATATGCACACACACATGCTCTCACGCATGCATGCACACACACACAAAAAAAAACCCACACATGCATACACACTCACACCCATGTGCACCCACGGGCATTCATGCACATACATATATACCCATACACTCACATACTCACACTCACACACTTGCACACAGATGCACACTCACACACATGCATACACACTCACAAACACACACACACTCACTCACACCCATTCACCCCCCAGCATTTTGTGTCTGCTTCCTCCTGACTGCAGATGCAATGTGGCCAGCTGCCTCTAGCTCCTGCATCCTGGACCTCCCCACCCTGATGTCACAATGGACACGCCTCCAACCACATTGCTTTTGTTGGGATTTTTCATCACAGCTAAAGGAGAAGCGATCCAGTGACCTTTCTGGCAGGGAGCGTTCTAGCATGCTAGAAAGTTCTGTTGGGCTACAGCTGCCTACAATTAATTTGCTTGTACCTACTAATGGCAGGCCAGGGCCCAGTAGGCAGCTAGCTTGGCTGTGGCCTCTGGAAGGACAGAGGGGTCACTAGTGTGGTGCCAGACAAGATGGAACAGCTCGGGGCTATCCTGGCTTCCTGCCTCCAGGCTGCTGACCCTTCAAGCTCCTGGTTCTCTCCTAACAGGGGGTATTCCCACCCCCCCTTATTTCCAGGATGGTCACCTTCCCTTAGCTCAGTGTCTGTCTTGAATGGAGAACTGCACTGGCCACTGCTTTACAGTCCCCAGTTAGTTTCTCCAGTACTCTGTCACACCCGAGTGACACCCCCAAATGACTCCCAAGGCCACAGCCATCAGAGCAATTCCTTTGGCATCCCCAGCCCTCTGGGGTCCCCTAGCCCTGGTACTAGGAAAAGGCCCACAGCACTGGTTCCCATGGGTCTCCATGAAGCCCCTCTGCCGTCTGCTTGCCCCACTCCCACCCCCAGTTCAGCTCGGGCCCCTCCCACCTGCTCTTTGTCAGTCAGTCATGAGCCCCAGATCCTTCCCACACAGCCCACTGCACACACCCCTCCCTGTGCGGCTCTCCTGCCCCCAACCCTCCTCCTGCCCGCCAACAGGGCCCTAAAGGGCTAGCTAGGGCTCAACCTCTGTGCCAGGGACAGTGCACGGACCAAAAGAGAGAGAGAGAGAGAGAGAGAGAGAGAGAGAGAGAGAGAGAGAGAGCGAGCAACCGGAGCCTTTCTTCTTTCTCCCCACTAAAGCCAACTTAGAGTCCTCGGGAATTATTTAAAGCATCTTGCGGGGAGTCCTGGGAGAGACAAAGCAGCCCTTTGTCATGCAGATGAACATGTAGTTCAGGTTTAAAAATCAGTTCTCCCTTGCACCGAAATACACCTCCTGCCTGCTGCTGCCCTGCCCCCAACACACACACATATACACACACACACACACACACACACACGCGCGCGCACCCTATGCACACACATACACACACACACACACACACACACACGCGCACCCTATGCGTGCGCACACTGGCAGTTCAGCACACGCGGGCCAGTGTGCCCTGAGCCTTAGCTCTGCACAAGGTTGGCTCTCCGGCCCTGTTAAACGCTCTCGGTTCTTCACTCCACCCTAAGGACCCATTTCTTCCTTGCTGAGTTTCTCCAATTAACCCTCCTGACCTCATCACTTCCGTCCTCAGTAGAATCCCAGAACTGGGCTACTTAAGGAGATCTCGGAGACTACCTCCTCCGACACATTCATTTCATAGATGAGAAAATAGGCCCAGAGATGGGGGAGTAACTTGTCCTGGGTCAGACAGCTGGCTGGTGGGGGGACCTAGGTTCTCAGGTCTTCAGCCCTCGTGCTGGTGACTCACGTCGGCCATTGTGCTGTGTGCGCATCCCTCACAGGGGAGGGAGCTTAAGGCCTTTCTCTCTGTAGTTCTGAATATATGCATGGCCGACTGTGGGGCCATGGGAAAAAAAGTCATAGCACTGCCTGGTCCGGTGTGCAGTTGGGGAACCTTTGAGGGTATTCTGAATTCAGGGTGGGGGGCATGGCTGGGTTGTGCAGAATGAACCTTCTCTGCCCTGGCCCTGTTTTATACTCCCTGGGGCATACACAGCACCTGCCATTACTGAGAGCCCCCAGGTGGCAGAGCCTCCATGTGGCAATGCCAGGTCTCCACATTGGCTTTATCAGGGCATCAGGTCCACACAGCAGGGTTCTCAGGGGTGGCCTCGGTCTCCCAGCCCTGCCTGATGTACAGGTGCCTTGGGGGTGCGTCGGGAAGACTCACGTTCCGTCTTCATTGCTCCTGTAGAACACCAAGAAGGGGTCAGATTTCCCGAAGAAATCTTTCTTATCCAGCTTGTTGGCACAGAACTGCATTGTGGCCACATCCTGGAAAGAAGGGAAGACGGGTAGTGAGGCAGGAGGATTCCAGGGATAGGCAAGGGTAGATAGGGTAGCTTTGTAAGTACGCCTCCAGGGTTACCCATGGGAGAGAGGAGCAACTTCACCAGCAGTCAGCAATGCATACCATAGGTCTACAGGACCAGCCGGCTGGAGAAGCAGATGGATCTGAAGCTGCCCTGGGTTCAAATCCCACCTCTACCACTTTGGAGCTGTGTGACTCCAAGGAAGGGAGGGAGGTAACCTCTCAGAGCCTCTGGGGTTCATGGGTGACAGTGGGGAGCACAGGTAGCCAAGTGTGTGAAGTGTGAAGTGTGTAATCCCCTTCTGGTGCCCACCGTGGTGTCGTGGCAACCAACAGCCATTCTGGGCATGGCCTGCTGACCCCGAAAGCCTGGCACTGTCCACGATGCCCCATGCTCTCATGGTCCTGTGCTGTGCCTAGAGGTTAGGTCTCCCCTTCTACTAACTACAGTGTGCCCACCCAGTGCTTTGAGGAGGATGGAACAGGGATCAAAATCGGGGGCCAAAGGCTCAGAGCGGAGGATAGAAGGGGTATGGGGAAGAGGCTTGGAGTCAAGGGGAGGCTTCCCAAGCTAACAGAGTTAATTTTGATCCCCAGACAGCTCCCTGCCCCCACTTCCCTGACATCTGCAAAGAGGCAGCCAGGCTCTCTGAGGGGGATCCTGCCCCCACTCTCTCTCAGTCTCCGCCCCCTCAGACTCTGTCTGCTCAGGTTCTGACCCCGCCCCCTATTTCTTGGTTCCGCCCCCTCAGAGCTCCACCCCTTCAGGCTCCAGCTCCTCAAGCTGTAGAAGACCCTGGCTGGGCACGGCCAATCAACGTTCGTCTTTTCACCTAGCCCCGTGTAGCCTCCCCAGTGAAAACTCCGGGATGCCTGAAGACCCTCGGGTTCACCCTGCTCGTCAGGCAGCTTCCCTTTCCGTCTCCTCTCTTCTGAAGGCGAATGACTGTTGGAGACCAAATGATGGCGGAGAAGCGGACACAGCCGCCACAAGGCTGACAGTGGAGAGAGGCTGAGCCACGTGCCAGCTAGGAGTACAGAGCTCACTCCCTGCCTCCGTGCTCAGTGTCCCCATCTCTAAAACAGGGGCGATGGCAGTATCTCCCTCATAAGCTTGGAGGATAAATGGAGCTACCAGGAATCCAAGGCTCGGACTGGCATACATAGAGCCTCATGAGATGCTATGTGAGGCCTACCATTTCTCCCCATTCCCTCACTTCCCCCACCTTGTGCATCTTCCCACTCAGCCATAGGATGTCAGCATAAACAAACCTATCCATTCCACCACTCAGCCAATCAACAACCATGTACCTTTGTCACTTTTTCTAAGCAAGGAAACTGGGGATGGAAAATGGCCAACCTATATAAGATGGCGACTGTAGACTAGGAAAACAGAGATTCAAACACCCCAGGTTCAAGCCTCATGTGCCCCCGGGTTGCCTGCTGACCAACAAACAGCCAACTGCCTCTCACCAGGTTCACTTCCCTGCTTTCTTTATGGTCAACTGACTTGAGCAGGCTGGGATGGCACAAGCTTGTGATGCCAACAACTTTGGAGACTGAAACAGGAAGATGGTGAATTCTAGGCTACCTCTGGGCTAGCCTTGGCTACACAAGATCATCTGGTGTCTGTGGCCTCTAAGCCTGTACAAGCAGATCACCGGGACGGAAGAGCCTGCTGCACACAGCGATGGTACAGGAGGGTCCTCATCCTTGCTCACCCAAGGGGAGGAGGCTAGGGTCTAAGACCTTGTGGGACCCAGGATAGTGAAGCTTCCAGAATGCCTCAGAGTTTCTGACCCATAACAAGGGCATGGCAGACTAGCCAAACATTCCCTACATATCAGGTGGCCTCTGGACCCTTCACCTTTCCAACCGCTACTTGAAAAATTTGTTTTCCCACTTTCCAGAGGAAGAAGAAGAGGAGGAGGAAGAAGAGGAGGAGGAGGGGGAGAAGGAGAGGAAGTTAACCCACCTGCCCCATGCTGCACAAGGTACAGCCCAAACAGACTTCAGGGCTTTAATGGACCCACTCAGAAAACTCCCCAACGGCACCAGGACGGGAGGACAGAATAAGGAAATTACAGGGACTCTGGGTTAAACATGCAGGCCGGAATAACTGCAAAGCTGGCAGTGATGTCTTCCCATGGTGGCTTCAGGGGACCAGAGTCTGCTCAGGGAAGCCATGGGGGACAGCTCCCAGGAGATCAGAGGAAGATCAGAGGCTCAGTCCTGGCTCTATAGGGCCTTGTGACATTCTTACCTGAAAGAATACGGGAACCTCTCACATGACAGAACGCAGGCTGACCCTAAACCAAGCATACCCTGGAAACAGCCCAGCAGCAGAGGCAAGCAGCAAAGGGTTTTATTGCCTCTTTATTGAAAAAGCTTTAGAGGGCCCTGCAAGACCAGGTAGGGGGCCGAAAGTTTAAGTCCAAAGTAAATCTAAGCTGGGAGTTTGTACACAGTGGTTGCCTGGCACACATACCGTCCAGGGTTTATCCCCGGCATTAGAACCAGAAAAGCTGGGGCTACCATTTGCAGAGTGTCCCCTACTTTTGGGTGGAAGTATATGAAACTCTCAATAACCAACTGTCATGTGTCTGTCTATGAAAGTGACGATATGGCAAAGTGGAGTGTAATGTGCCCACTGACTTTGACATTTTTAAAGGTGTGTGTGTATGCGCACATGCATGGGTATATGCATGTGTGTGTATGCATATGTGTGTGTGTGCACATGTGTGTGAATGTATGTATATGTGTCTGTGTGAGTATGTACGTACTGTGTGTGTATGTGTGTATGTGTGTGGGCACATGTGTGTGAATGTGGACATGGTCTGGAAGGCATAGGGCAACACATGTATGTGTGCCTGTGTGTATGTGTGCACATGCATAGATGTGTGCGTGTGTGTGCATGTGTGTGCCTATGTGTGTGTGCCATGCATGGATGTATGCATGTGTGTGAGTGTATGTACTTGTGTATGTGTGTGTGCATGCCTGTGTGCATGCCTGTGTGTGTGGGCACGTGCACAGGTGTGTGCATATGTGTGAGTACATGTATATGCAGATGTGCACATGCATGGGTGTAAGTGTGTGAGTGTGTGCACTTGTGTATGTGTGTGCGCATATATGTGTGCATGTGTGTGTGCACGTTCATGGGTGTTTGCGTATGTGTGTGAGTGTGTGTACATGCGTGTGGGCACGTGTGTACATGTATTATACATGTGTGGTGAGTGTGTGCACATTTATGGATGTGTGCATGTGTGGGAGTATATGTACTTGTGTATGTGTGTGCGCCTGTGTGTGTGCACATTCATGGGTCTTTGTATATGTGTTCGAGTGCATGTACATGTGTATGTGTGTGTGTGTTGTGATATGTATGTGTGTGAGTGTGTGTGAACCTGGGCATGTTGTAGGAGGCAGAGGACAATCAAGGTGTTCGTTGCTTTCCACTCACAGAGACAGGGTCTCTGCTCTTCACTGCCCTGCAGTTCAGGCTGGCTGGCCCTGAAGTTTCTGCGGACTGGCCTGTCAGCTTTCCATCTTGTAGGAACCCTGGGACACCAGTTGCTCACCCTGAGTATCCAGGGCTGCTCAGCCCTCCTGGTGCTACAGCCCTCTAATACAGCCTCATGTTGTGGTGACCCCAGCCAGAAATTTATTTTTGTTCCTACTTCATAACTGTAATTTTGCTACGGTTATGAATCATAATGTAAATATCTGATATGCAGGATATCTTATAGGAGACACTGGGTGTGTGTGTGTGTCACGACACACAGGCTGAGAACCATAGATGTGATTCTTATGTGGATCTCAACACTCCCACCAAAAGGGCCTCTACCCACTGAGCCATCCTCCCACCACTCCCAAATATCTATGCTTCGTTTAATCCTGTCAACAGTTCTACGCAGGTAGGCGCTGTTCTCCTGCCTATTTTACACAGGAGCGAGGAGGGGAGAGGTGTTCAGCACTCAGGAGGTAGAGGCTGGCAGATCTCTGTGAGTTCAAAGCCAGCCTAGTCTACGTAGTGAGAGTTCCAGATCAGGCCGACCAAGGATATATAGTGAGACCCTGTGACACACTCTTAATCACACACACCACACACACACACAAGGGCCCATTGAGACTAAGCCCATGCCACTAAGCCTAAGTTCAATCCCCAGGGACCCGCATAGTGGAAGCAAATCCTGCAAACCATTCTCAGACCTTCACATGTGCCAGAGCACACATGCGCCTAGACACATACACATGCAACACAGATAAATAAAATGTAGGAAACAAAGAAAAGACCAACAGGGGGCTAGAGAGATGGTTCAGCGGTTAAGAGCACTGACTGCTCTTTCCAGAGGTCCTGAGTTCAATTCCCAGTAACCACATGGTGGCTCACAACCATCTGTAATGGGATCTGATCTCCTCTTCTGGTGTGTCTGAAGACAGCTACAGTGTACTCATATGCATAAAATAAATAAATAATTCTTAAAGAAATAGAGAAAAAGAAAGAAAGAAAAGAAAGAAAGAGAGAGAGAGAGAGAGAGAGAGAGAGAGAGAGAGAGAGAGAAAGAAAGAAAGGAAGGAAGGAAGAGACCAAGAAGTGGAGGGACAGAAAGAGTAACACTCTTGCTGGACACCACAAAGCTATTACTGAGCTGGAGTGGTTCATTATGGCTCCAGGAGAGAGTAGCTGAAATTCTAAATAATAACCCCGCATCCCCAAGGTAAGCTTAATTATGTTCTGTAGGCTCCAGTGGAGGAGGCAGAGGAGTGTGAAGTGGAATCCATTTAGAAGAGCTTCTGTGCAAACTAGCTAAAATGGAAGAGAAAAAAAAAAAAAAAGCAGGCTCTGAACTCCAGCTAGGTGAAAAAGCTTGCCCAGAGAGTGACAGCAGGTTTCCTGTCTGTGGTAGATAAGTGAGGCTGCAGCAGACTCATTTCCATTCCACCCCAACACACACACACACACACA